TTTGGATCGATGCTGAGAACAGGAAAGATTTGATGGTAGCCGGACATAATCAATCAAGGAAGGAACTGTGGTTTGATCGAGAGGAGACATCATTGGTGTGAAAATAAAGGTCAGTCAAATAATTTGAATGAAAGAAAATTTTAAGATATTCTAAAGATAAAATCAAATATAAGCATACGAACTAAGATTCCAAGTTTCAAAGAGTTATTTTTTTTGTGAATAAGAATATTTTTATATGATCATATTTTTTTTAGTAGATATTATTATAAAACAGATCAATAGATAGTTTGTAATTAAAATTAAATTTAGAGTATAGGAGTTTGTTGGGAAAGATAATTGCCCACAAAAGGTATTGCCTATACATATACCAAATTCATCGTATTGCTTATTGAAAATAAATAATAATTTGTGTGCATATTTATGTTGTTTTAATGTTAGTTCCGTTTCCTGTTCTATCCCGATTATGAGCAACTAGGAGATACTGAACCCACTAGAAGCGATATATAAAGTAAACTGATTAAAGTAATAATTAACAAAAAAAGGCACCCTGAGAATTTTTAATAGTAATTGAATTGTATGACTCTGCATAAATTATTGAATTAATTAATTTAATAGTTGGATTAATTAAATTAGTGTTAATTAATAATAAATCATCATAAAGCAGATCACAACAGTACCTATGTAAATAGTTACACAATAAAAATTTTTAGAAAAAGAACAAGCATTATTATGTAAGTTTCTTTATTACGTCGGTTGAGACTGATGATGGCATTTTTTAATAAAAAAAAAATGAATATTGTTTATGTGTATTTCATAACGTTCTTTATGAGTTTATGACAACTAATTATAAACTGTGTGTAGGTTAGAATTATAGCATATATGTAGGTATATGGTAAAGCCGCTCTTTGTAATTTTATATTGACACTTGTTTGTAGGTGTAGCAAGTTTTTAAACCATGAATGCAGAACAATGTTTAAGAAAACATGGAATGTATAACAATAATATCAACCTTGAATGACTTAATGTAGTTGCCCACATAAATATATTTTATACCATTTTTTGCTTTTGTTTGTGGTCTACAGTTGCAATTGAAATGGATCCCACGATAAATATTTAATATAAATCTAAAAAACTTTTATTATAGGATTCGTGAGTATTATATTTTGTGTTCAGGAATGATAAAACCTCAAGATGAGCCTACACTTGAATCAGTATTAACATACTTCACTGAGTATTTCATTCAAAATAAAATTTAATTTCGTTATTTTGGGTAGTCAGAATTAATAGGATATTCTTATTTATCTAATTGAATTAATTATAGCTAGTAAACGTCAAGAAAACGTCATCTAAACAGAATATCTCGAGGAAAATACAAAATGTTGGCTCAGTGTTATTAACAGAAATAACTGAAGATGAAATCGAAAAATCCATAAACGACATGAAAAAAAATAAAGCGGCCGGTGAGGACAAAATACTGGCGGAACTGTTAAAAGAAGGAGGAGACACGATAAAAAAATGCTAAAAATACTGTTCAACAAATGTCTGTTTGAAGGTAAAATACCTAAACAATGGAGAAATGCCAACACAATCTTAATACATAAGAAAGGAAACCGAACAGACCTAAACAACTACCGTCCTATTTCCCTTTTGTCACAACTATATAAAACCTTCCCAAGAATAATAAACAACCGACTAACCTATAAACTTGATAACTACCCACCAGTGGAACAGGCCGGATTCAGGAAAGGATACAGCACAATCGACCATCTACATGCGCTTAAAATCTTAATTGAGAAAACCAATGAATACAACCTTCCGCTGTACTTGGCATTCGTAGATTATGACAAGGCTTTCGACAGCATTGAACACTGGGCGGTTGAAGAAGCTCTGGTCAATAGTAGAATAGATTCAAGATACCGACAATTGATACATGATATTTACCAAAACGCAACCATGACCGTATTTAGGCGATATAATTTCACCTAAACTGTTTACCTTGACCCTCGAAGACATAATAAAATCAACAGATTGGGAAAACAGAGGAATATGTATTAACGGAAAATACCTAAATCACCTTAGATATGCGGATGATATACTCCTAATCTCCTCGGAACGACAAGAACTGGAATTAATGCTGAATGAACTTCATGAAAAATCACTGCAAAAAGGATTAAAAATTAACTTCAACAAAACAAATGTAATAACAAACACGGAAGACCAAGAGGCAATAAAAAATACAAACAGAAAAAATAGAACAGGTATATCTATCTAGGACAAGCAATAAGAGCTAACAGAGAAAATCAAACAACCGAAATATCGAGACGAGTAAGAATGGGATGGGCAGCGTTCGGCAAACAGAACTCTAACGTTCTAAAAAATCAAACAATTCCTCTATACTTACGAAGCAAGGTATAATACCGGTGCTCACCTACGGAGCACAGACATGGACATTTACACAGGCCAATTTGGATAGGATAAGGAAGGCACAAAGAGCGATGGAGAGACAAATGTTGGGAATATCACTTAAAGATAGAAAACGTAACCAGTGGATCGGAACCAGAACAAAGACAGTAGACGTGATAGAACAAGCAGCAAAACTGAAATGGAAATGGGCTGGACACAATGAACGTCTCCAAGACGGACGATGGAACAATGCCATCGGAAAGTGGCATCCATACAATACAAAGAGATCAAAAGGCAGACCACAGATGAGGTGGAAAGATGACATCAGGAAACAAGGAGGTCCCACATGGCAGAGAACAGCTCAAGATAGGGAAAGATGGAGAGAACTGGAGGAGACCTATATCTAACAATGGAAGTATAGAGAATAGGTTAAAAAAAATAAAAAATAAAAAAACGTCAAGACGAAATGAGTAGGTATTTTAAGAAGGATAAGACTGGACTCAGGGTGCTGGATAAACCAAATTAGAGAATGGTGTTGAATATGAAGAAGAAAGCCAGAAAGACGTCGAAGATCATTTGAAAATGAACTAAATGAGTCAAAGTGACTGGCAGGATAAAAAAGTCATAAAGGTAATAAAAGTAAAAGTTCTTATTAACAGTAGTACAATATTTATTCTTGATTACAGATGTTTCCTTCCACGTCTCTTCCCTTTGGTCGGTCCTGTTTTACATTTTTCTAACAAATTAAATTGATCTCAAAAATTGAAACAATGATTTTGACATTGTGTATGTTGTGTAGACAGACAGACTCATTTTTTAAACAAGCTTATGAAAGAAAGGTACAACTACTGCAAATTGTACAGTTGTATGACTAAAATTTAGACAGGTGGCATTAAAAAATTGGTACTTTTTAAAATTCATTAGTAGCACTTGATTGAGTAACAACTTATTGAGTAATGTGACACTAGGAATTTTTTGAAAGTGTAATTTATAAACATGATACAAACCAATTAATATAAAAACGTATCAGCCCTATAGTAAATTCGCCACGCATTTTTTTGACATCAAAGTTTAAACTAGGGTGTCACAAAAAGATTAGCCATAGGACAAACCATGATTGAAAATTGATTGAATGAAAATAAGTCGATTTGGGATTGGGAGAGAGGCGAATTTTCATGCAAAATTCATGTCCTCAAAGATAACTCTCTACTGTCCAGCATCAACCCCATTTTTTTTTAAATAGCAAGCGTGGTCGGTGGTACATCATTTGAAAGGTATTTTTTTTTTCTCTACACGACACTTTATTTTTTTTTTGAATTTACAGAATAATTTTCGATTTAACTAATTTATTGGTTATTTAAATTTCATTAAATTAATTAAATGTTCGAAATGAACTTCTGTGCTCTCCATACAATAATACAGTCCATTTTTAAAACCTCTTCGTTCAATTGAAAATACCTCCGGTGTCAATAATCGTCGTTCTGTCATAATTATTTGTTGCAACTCTGCAAAATCTGCAGTTGGAGTGGCGTATATTTTTGATTTTAGGTATACTCACAAAACAAATCCGAAGGCGAAAGGTCTGGTGATCTGGCCGGCCACTCTATTGGACTCCTTCTGCCAAACCAACGATGCGTCCTGTTGGAAAGTCAGTACATCCTCTAGAAGATTATTATCAGATTCCAATGTGTCAGTGATCATCGGATCAATAATGTCTTCTAACAAATTTAAAAAGGTTGTTCCGTTAAAATTTCCTTCAAAAAATAATGGTCCAATAACGTGATTCCCTAAAATACAAACATTGTATTTTGAGAACAATTCCCGAGGTGGAAATTAAAATATCAATAAACTTACTTCTTTAATTGTGGCTTATTTTCTTTTAAATAGTAACTACTTTAAAACTTCTTCTTCGCGCGTACTTAACTTACCTTGTCTTAATCTGAGGCGCTCGAGTTTTTCTGAGGGATTTTTGTACTAAGCTGACAAACTGCTTTCTTCTTCCAATGTTAATTTTGAGGGTTGGGATAAGGATTTTTTATTACGAAAAGGATTGAAAATGTTTCACAATTTAGGATCTTGTGATCCTCTTCAGGTTTGCTTTGAATGTGGTTGGTTTGGCACAATACAAGGCACAGCACCAAAGAAGGCACTGTGGTAGTTGTTGTGACGTGTGTTGTGGAGCATCTAGATAGCTGTTGAGATAGAGTCGCCAATTAAATCAGAGGTGGAAGGTTTTTCTGGGTGCGATGTTCTTTCCAGAGTGTAGTGTTTGTGTTTTCGAGCTAAATGTGAAAAATACCGAGTCTCTAGTTACTATTGCTCCTGCAAAACATTTATACGTCTACATCCAACTTCAAAACTAGTATATTGCACTAAAATTTTGTTATCGGATGTTTGAGTTAATGGACAGGCCTCGTCAGCTGTCGACAGGCGGTTTTCCAACAGGTATCCCAGTATGAATTTGTTTGATGGAATGACAGTAATTCAGTAAACGAGCAAACTTCCACTTGGGCTCCCCTACTATAAATAAAAAATACTGTAGGACTAATTTTTCTTAATAACTGTCAATGTAATTATATAAACGTCAAGTGGACAAAATGAATGCAAAATGCGTATGTACACAAAAGCAAATTAGTGAGAGAAAATCGATAAATATCAGTCCTGTTAATACCAAAACTATTTTTATTGATTTTGGAAAAGTACCCTTTCTTCATAAAAAGTGTAAAGATATCTTAATTGATTTAGAACAAGTAAGTTACAGTATTTACTTTTATATCCTTTCTTTTTCTTTCCTTTCATTTGGCTTCTGTTATTTCTTTACTAATCTGTTCTCGTCCATTCTATTTCTGTGTTAATTCCAGTTTAGTGTTCTTTGTTCGGTTCCTATTATAACTCCTGTTATATCTAGCAGCAACCACTTCTTTTCCTGCTTCACTTTATCATTTCGGGATCAATTTTATCTGCTTCACTGGGTGTTCCTACTTTTGTTCTATTCATTGCTTCTTCTGGGTCATACAATACGTGGTAACAGATATGAATTCCTAAAACTAATAATGCAGGGAAAGATTCAAGGAAAGCGCAGTGGAAGGATGCCGGTTTACATGCCGGTTCCTTCCATGGAGAGGCTTGTATGCAACAGTGTCTCTTTCAGCGGTTTTGTTCTTGCTGCAAGTCCAATTAGTCCGCTAGCCTTCGACAGCTCAGTAGAGAAACTAAAATGGACTTTCAAAGTTGCTTTTATCTGGCCTGTTGAATTGATATAGTGAAATAAAACAATTACTTGTTTAGAACGAAACTGTAATTGAAAAAAGAAAGAAAGGGCAAGAAATAGAGCTTATAAAATTTGAGTGTGTAACTTATCGCAGGAACTTAATTTGAATATTACAATTTGCGAACGAAAGCGAAAACACCATAACACTTATTCACATATTACGGCTTCCCGGCCAACTGCGTAAACTGCAACGAGGAGAATCCTCTCCGAACTTTGAAATGTAGATGTTAGCCCTACGAAAGTCGCTAAATCACTGTCGGTGTACCTGGTCGCCTCCCTCGCCCCGCTGGAATATTTTTTTGGTTATGCATTTTGAAAAGCCGGTCTGTCGTCAAGTAGGCGCTGTGGGCGGGGATTAACATTCTCAGAAACAAGGTCTAGGTAGACTGGATTTATTTAGGTAACCGACGCGAAAATAGAATTATTTGATACAAAATAGAATTATTGGTTTGGAGATATAGTTCTCCAACACGCAGCGTAGGTAAGAGAAGGATGTCCTGGCTGAGAAACCTTGGAGAATGGTTTGGATGCAACTCAATTGAACTCTTTCTGGCTGTAGTGTCAAAAGTTAGAATAGCAGTAATAACAATTTTTAGTTCTTTTAGTTTCAATCTGCTTTCGTTTCGTTTGTTTTATAGTTTCTTTTCTCCCCCTTTCTTCATTTTCTTCCTCGTCTATATCTTTCTCTAACATTAAATAAAGATCAAAAGACCATTTTTTTTTCTCGGCCAATTAACCTTTGGTATTACACACATTTTCGCCTTCTACTTATTCTAACCATTGTATCTTTTGTGCTTTGACAAAAGTGGAAATACTGGATTGTTCATACATCTCCATTAATTCTTTGTAGTAGCTTCTCTCCCACCCATCTTCAGTTTTCTTCCTGCCAAAGATGTATCTCAGTTTTTTCTTTTCTCATCTCTCTAACATTTCCTTCTCCCTTTTATTTAGTACCCATGTCTCACAGAGGTATGTTGCCGTCGATCTAATCACTGTTTGCTATATTCTTAGTTTACACTTATTGGATACGCTGCGTAACTTTTTGTTTCCTTTCGCTGTTTTTACTTCTAGCTCATATTTTTTCGTTCCTTCTTTATCTATCACAACACCCAAGTACTAGAATTTGTCAATCTTTTCAAATTTATACTCCTTACCACTTGCTAAATTTACTGTCAACTGATTTTCTTTATTTTTGTCTGTAGCTTTTATAATTATATATGTGGTTATGTTATTGTTTATATTCAAACCGTACTTTAATGCTTTTTCGATAATACTCTTTGCTATTCTCTTTAGTTATTTCACGCTCTTTGCTGGAATTGCCATTCTAAAAAATCATTCACAAAAGCTATGCATTGGTGATCATTTTTAAAATAATTTCTTCAGTCTTAATTCTACTATTCCTGACTACAACTTCCACAATAAAATTGAATAATGAGGCGGATAGGGAGTCACCCTGATTGATTTTATGATATATGATTATTTTTAGCCCCTTAATGAATTTGAAGTTAACAAAACAACAAATTGCCACGGGGATATTTTTACTATTACCCCAACTTCCGGAAAATTAAATGATAAAGAAAACCAGCTGAAACTAAAATGTTACTACAAACCGCAGGCGCCGTTTATGAAAAATGCAGATGTTTTTACTTTAACTTCATCGAGCTTTAGTTTAATAATAACAGCTAGAGGAGAATCAACAGGTATTTTATAGTGGTTTCTAAAGTGTGAATGCTTGTATTCTGGGTAGTAAATCATCAAATGGGCCGTAGGAAACACAATAGAAAATGTAACAATAAAACACGAAAACTTTCACAAAATTCATTTTAAACTCTTATCACGACAGCGGTTTCGACTGATTGCCTTTCTCAGGTGATCTATTTTTGGCATGTGTTTACACTTTATAGTCTTTAATAGGTTGAGGAGGGGAGAACTGCTTGTTTCAAGTTGGTCATTCAGAATTATATCTGTTTTTTAATTTGTTGATTTTCATGGATTCTAACAAAGATAGCTTAAGGCCTTTATTTTGAATGTGAAGAATTTTACATTCGTCATTAAAAGAATGATTAAGATCTAGAAGGTGAAGTGCGTATGTAGAATCTGTTTTTTCGTTATTGAAAGCCCTTTTATGTTCTGCTATTCGTTTATTAAAATTTCACCAGTTTGACCGATGTAAGTTTTTCGCCAACTTTAAGTTTGTACACACCACTGTGTAAGCGTTTTTTATTTTGGCTCTTGTTGTTTTTAATATATTTGCCTAAGTTGTTATTTGTTCTGAAATCTGGTGGTTTTCCTTTCTTTTTTATGTGTTTGGCTATTTTTGTTGATATTTTGCCTGTATATGTAATCGAGCACAAGGTACTGGGTTTTTTCTCTGGTGGTGGAAATAATAATTTCAGGGCTTTCTTGTGTAGTTTTTGATTTAACATTTTATTAATTATTTGTTCGTTGTATCCATTGTTTACTGCTATTTGCTTAATGATATTTAATTCTGTCTCAAACTTGTAGTTTGACATCTGAATTTCTGTTAATCTATGTAACATACTATGATATACTGCCCGTTTATGTTGTGTGGGATGGGATGATGAATTGTGTATAGTCGTGTTAGTATGGGTAGGTTTATGAAATATGAAGAAGTCATGTTTGTTTTTAAGTCTGATAATTTTTAAATCTAAAAAATTTATGGATTGATGGATGATCAAAAAACAAAACTTTACGACATAAATGTACATGTTAATGGAGAGATTTCTATTTCTTACAATTTTGATTTTTTGTGCTACAATCAATATTTAAGGTCCTAATCCTAACGAACCCTTAACGGTAACATCAGCAGCAGCAAGTCACAACCAGAACGAACCTATTTGACCAGACCTTACAGGTTAAGAGCCACGTACACTCAATTGGGTAGACATGATTACCGCTCGCTGGTGCCAACATAGAATTTTGTGAACTGCTCAGGAGTGCCAGAGATATATTTTCTTTATTTATTATCGTAGAATACTTTTATAAATACCATTCGCTTTTTCGTGGGAGAAACCGAATAATACAATAAACCCAAGTGGCTGAACAAAAAAAATATAAAATCAAGCACGACAGAAGTGCGACCCATCTTCTAGCTTCGTCAAACTGTATAATTTTGGATTTCCGTAAGTAATGGTTAATAGATTTTGCTAACCTGAGAGTTCTAGACCTTACTTCTTCTTTCTTGTTCTGGATTTCGCTATCAGTCCCCTATAAACAGTTTCCTATGACTTTTGAAGTTAAATAATTAAGGAAGCAGGAATTCAACAGTTTTGAATTTTACATTGTTTCCTATGACCCTTTCTATGATATGAATGGACGCTAGCCTTTCCTATAATATTAAATTATTAAATTTTACTTCATTAATGTGTGTAAAACTTTAAAATACTCTTTATAGGACCGATCATATCTGTATCTGACAAACACATCAAATTTTTTATCACGTCTAAAGAGAAAAATGGTAAACAAGTATTTTCACTCAAAAATGTTAACAACATGCCCACAGAATTCATAATTGACATGGACCATAAGCAAAAATTGTTTATTATTACACCAACTAAGGGTATTATAGAAAAGGAGATATATATCAGAGTGACTTTTAACCCAAAAGAATACGGAACATACTATCAGCAATTAAATTTTTTGATATTTGGCAACGTAAGTATTTTTTCTATTGCTTTATTTGTAAGATCAGGTTAAATACGGAAAGGGTACAACCCCCTTCGCATTCGCGGATGAACTTGCTGTACTGTTAGTGGCCCGGGATGAGCCAGATCTCAAATACCAGGTTCGGAACGCAGGTCGCGTCGTAAAGAAATGGATGACGCAGCACGGACTGGAACTTGCGGAAGAGAAAATCAAAGCTATCGTTCTAAAGTAGAAGAGGAACAGGCATAGTGTTGAATTACAATGTGCGGGAACATCTCTAACACCCAAGAAACAAGTAAAGTCCTAGGGATGACATTGCACCAGAATGGAAAATTGGGGGAGCACGTGCGGGAGGTGTTCCGGAAGGCTGCGAAAGTGCGGCTGCGTTGGAGAGGGTGATGCCCAACATTGGGGGACCCAAATCCGAAAGGAGGAGGGTCTTACACGGTGTTGTACATGTTTTGTTACATGTTACATGTTTTGACGGTGGAAAGAAAAGAGCTCTATGAGAGAAGAGGCCCAAACCTTACTGTGGTCGAGAGAAGACAGGCAAGGAAAAGGTCAATTGAAATATGGCAAGAAGAATGGAACAATACGGAGGATGTGGCACAGTGGACAAAAATACTGATCCCGAACATAAGAGATTGGGTGGACTGTGGCCACAAGCGACTGGATTATTTCCTGACGCAAGTGTTCACAAGACACGGGTGTTTTAGGGCCTACCTCTCTAGGATCGGAAAGACTGACAGATGAATACCTATACTGTGGACACTCAGACACTATGACACATACAATGTTAGATTTTAGCAGATTGATAATGGAAAGAAACAGAATAATGAGAAATACAGGGTGAATTTTGTTACAGTGTGAAAAATGATTGAAAATAAAACAGGTTGGACTAACATACATAACTACATCCGTGCAGTGATCAAGAAAAAAAAGAAGAGGAAGAAAGACAGTTGGACCAATGGCAAAGATAATAGTAAAACATGCTAGACGTTGAGGCTAGAAAAGTGGGTCAGGCTATGAGTTAGAATGGGTGAGTCAGACTGTGGGGAAGAAGGAAATGCCCGTCTGGGAATGATGCGGTACTGCGCGCTACCTGAAACAAGACAGGGAGCCTCCTTACTGATGAATGGGGTGTAGATGTGGATGAATGGAGAATGGATGAATGAAGGTAGTGCTTCGAAAATAATGAGCGAGGAGCGCCGATGAGCAAGATGTCTTTAGCAAATTCAGAATATTGTTGCCAAGTCTAACAGTTGAGGATAACTATTTGATGAATACAATTTCTGATTACTCATTGTTTTTGTTCTTTGACTTCTCACTTTCTGGTAATAAAGTACATTAAAGACAAAGGATAAAATCAATGGATGGCTTTTATGTCCTGCTGCTATGGCATTTTTAATATTTTTAGTCAGTGCTTCTCTTAGCTCCACCGTTATTATTTTTTCTTCTTCATTTATTTCTCTACTACTATACAAGTATTTTTATTGTTCAGTACTATGTAATTCTTCTTTTATAGTTATTACCTAAGAGATTCTGAAAATGTTCTTTTCATCGCTCCAGTATTGCCTCGTTCTGTTTTCATAGGTGACATTCTTTATCTTTAAATGTCATCGTGTCAAGAAAAAAGGCGATCCGAAGGGAGGCATTATGCTCATAATTTGCTATGCATAGTCAGGTCTCAAGAATAACAAAGCTCTGGGGGAGGACGGTGTCGTCACGGAAGCGATAAAGATAGGAGGCTCAGTACTGATAGCCAAAATTCAAAAGCTCTTTAATATATGCCTATGGAATCAAAATATCCCAACAAAGTGGAATAATTCAATAACTGTACTCTTACACAAAAAGGGAGATATAGCAGACCTGGAAAGATACAGACCAATCAGTCTCCTTAACCATCTTTATAAATTATACACCCGAATAATAACGAATAGATTAGAGACAAAGCTGGATTTTTACCAACCTCGGGAACAAGCTGGTTTCCGCCCTAATTACGGCACAAACGATCACCTGCAGTGCCTAAAAACCCTAATAGAAAAAACTAACGAATATAACCGTCCCTTGGCATTGATATTTGTAGACTTTAAAAAGGCGTTTGATACAGTGGAACTACCGTCCATCTTAAGAGCACTACAAGATTGCAGGATCGACCACAGATATTGTAAAATAATTAAAAATATATATGAAAATGCCACAACAAAAAGTCTATATTCTGCAACTAATAAAATAAAGATAAAAAGGGGAGTCAGGCAAGATGATACCATGTCACCAAAGCTGTTCATTACCGTTCTTAAGTATGCATTTAAAAAACTAACATGGCAACAGAAAGGAATGTCCATCGATGGAGAAAGACTAAACCACCTACGTTTTGCGGACGATATCGTGCTTCTGTCAGATAATCTGGGAGAGATCAAAGACATGCTCCAAGAATTGAATGACATACTACAAGAAACTGGGCTGGAGATAAATTTCGAGAAAACCAAAATGATGACCAATATGGTTCCCAGCGAAGAGATACAGATCAATAACAACAAGTTAGAATTAATCGATAAATACACATACTTAGGTCATGAAATTAGAATAACCAGAGACAACCAAACCTGCGAGCTAAATAGACGAACCATGTTGGGATGGGCGGCATATGGACGGATGAGAGACATTTATAAAACAAATATCCCAATTCACCTGAAAAGGAAGGCATTTAACCAATGCATCTTACCAGTCTTGACCTACAGAGCAGAGACCTTAACTTTAACGAAAGCTACTGCCGAAAAACTAAGGGTAACACAAAGGCGAATGGAGAGATCAATGCTGGGCCTGACCTTGAAAGATCGCGTAAGAAATGAGGAGATACGCCAACGAACTGGCGTAGACGATATTATACTGCGAATCAATAAACAAAAGTGGAGGTGGGCTGGACATGTTGCTAGAATGGAAGACGGACGAAGAGATTATTGGAGTGGAGAGCAAGAGCCGACAAGCGAAGTCGCTTGTCGGCTCTTGCTCCCCACTCCAATAATCTCAGACCACCCACCCGATGGACCGACGATCTAAGGAGAATAGAAACAAACTGGATTGCAGCAGCTAGAGATAGAGAGAACTTAAGACGTTTGGAGGAGGCCTATATCCAACAATGGATGTGAAAATTCGGCTGGATGATGATGATGATGAGTCAGGTCTTCTGAAAGGTAACTTAAACGATGCCGATGCAACGGCAGTTATATTTCAGGAGACCTGACGATGCATAGCAAATTATAGTGTGCGAAAACTGGTCATCCCATTTAAAATAAACTGATTGTAAATCTAATTATTTCTTTTTACCTAATTATTTTATTTCCGATTTTAATAAAAAAATATATATTTTGTTTTTGTAAAAAATTTAACAAAATACCAATTTTTAGGAACCTGTAATAGTGTCATTATTTGGAATTTACAGTAAAGAAAAAATTGACCCAGAAAAAACTTGTTATATAAACTACCCTGTTCCGTTTGAAGATACCGTCAATTATAACGCTTACTTCAAAGATCTTTGTCATGACCTAAAAAGTGAAAAGAAAAGTTCACCAGTTTATCTTAACACAACTGATCTAGATCTAGGAATAGTAATTATAAAAAATGATGATCTTTTTTCTGACGATTTTAATGGTAGAAATGTAGCTTCTGTCTCAACAGAAACGTTGGCGGTATCGTCCAAGAATTTCAGTGTTATCAATGATATGAAACATGAAATAGTTGTTAGTTGGATAGAAGGTACTAAATAAATAATAATTAAATCGGAATAACATGTTTCCATAAATTTATATCTAAATCATCAAATTAGATCGGTACCACCATAAACATCTTCTTGTATGCTATGGTTTTTTATGCTTACGTTCACTATCCAAAGGTTTAGTCATTAATTTATTTATGATTCTTTTTCTGCTGCAATGTAACGATGTTTTGTATTTCACTAGGAAGGCTATCTAATCTTTTATTTACGGAAAATATTAAGGCTGATGTGTCAGTTAAAAAGTAAGATCAATGAGATCAAATTCTAAATTCTTCTTTATTTAAGCTACTAGATAATACATTAAATCTTAAAAACATTTAAAAGGGTACTGAAGGTATACAAAACCTTCATTCTTGCATTTTATTTTTCTCTATGCAGGCACACGAAAAGAGGACCAAGTTCTTCATTCGTCGGTTTAAATATCCGCAGTCAATAAGATTGTTATAAAATTTATTTTTATTTAGTCTTTGTTCTTGAACTTTTTTGGAGACAGTACTCCCCTGGCTCTTTCCCTAATCATCATCCTGAATCTTTTTTTAGGCCACCATCTTTACCACCGTACAGAAAAGCAGGTCTCACTCCACTCTTGTATGTCTTTTCTTCCAGCGCTTTCCCAATTTTTAGATCACAGAGTACCTTGCTCATTTGCTTTCAGTTAAACCATTATACTGTAACCTATGGGTAATTTCTCGTCACATTTTCCATGATGTAAGATCCAATAGTCCTTTTCCAACACTCTAACTTCCCTAACGTTTATTTGCTTTCTTGCACTAACACATTATATTATGTTGCACTACATTAGTAGTAAAAAGCCTTGATGTTAACTAACCGTCATGGGAAAACTTTTAGTCGATCTGACTCGTCCTTACTTTGGTATATGCTTTTCTATATACACATCCCTCACGAGCATTACTTACCTATTCTCAGGAATCCATTTCTCTCTCATAAATTTTCGTAGCTATGGTCTGGGCACTGGTCGTACGCCTTCTCAAGATTTATAAATATATATAATGCACTTCTTTTTTCTTTTGGACGAACCCAAACGGTTTGTATCTGTCTATGTCTCTCTCCTTAACCTTCGCTCCACAGTTCTCACCCAGAGTTTACTAGTATACAACATAATTTTAATATCTATTATACAGTCTTGAATATATCCTTGATCTTTATACAGAGTTACCATCACGCTCTATCCCCATGCATTGGGCATACAACTCATCATTTGCTATAACACATCAACCCCTTTCTTTCCTATAGCCTTTCAAACCTCTACAAGTATTCCATCAGGTTCTACAGTCTTACCATTCTTTATTCTATTTAATGTCTCGACAACCTCACCTCTCGTTATCTCCAGGATTATGTTCTCACTTGGGATAGCGTATCCTTTGGCTTACCTCTGGTATTCTTCATTTAATTGTGACATAATAATTGCGATCATTTTTTATATACTACTTGATTGCTTTTTTAGATGACAAAGTTTTTAAAATTCTGCCTAAAAAAGCTAATGTACCTCCCGGAGCAACAACGTTTTTTAAATGCTTCTTTACTCCCTATGAGAATGAAAAAGTATATTTTAGAACATTTACTGCACAAGTCTATTGGTTGTGCGACTATGCAATGGCTGATCCCTGTGCTATTAAAACTGTTATAGTTCCTTTAACTTTATCTATAAATGTGCAAGGTGAGTACTATAAATTATTACTAGGTATTTTTGGATATAATTTGGATTCCGCGATACTTTAAGTACACGGGAGGGTCTTTTTACTGGTTTAGACATGCAGATATGGTGACTGCGACATAGTATTTGGTTTATCGACTACAAACTGCATTAGAGTGAATGATAAGTTGAAAAAGGCAACCTCGATAAATAGAGAAGTGAGAAAAGGGTAGGGATGTTTCAAAACTTCATGAACTTTTGAAATACGCTCGACCAAAAAAAAATGAATCCTGAAAACATTAAATATTTTAATTGTATACTAAAATCAATATAAAGTATTAAAAACGACGGTTAGAAAAAAGCAATAAATACTCGTAAAACTAACTGTTTTACAAGTGCATAAAGTGGTTTAAATCCGTTTTTTTATGATCGGGCACTGCAAATAAATAAATGTTTTCAGTAATGTCGGGTTTCATAGTTTCGTTCGTAAATTGACTTCACCAAAAGTCAGGTTTATAAAATGTTGTAAGGCTTATACAGTGGTTTGAGGTTGGTAAAGGATTGGAGGCAGTATGGGTTGCAGATTCTTCTTCTTCAGGTGCCATCTCCGCTACAGAGGTTGGCAATCATCAGAGCTATCTTAATTTTTGAGGCAGTAGCTCTAAATAGTTGTTTTGAGCTGCATCCAAACCATTCTCTCAGGTTCTTCAGCCATGAAATTCGTCTTCTTCCGATGCTTCTTCTGCCATCTATTTTTCCTTGCATTATGAGTCGCAGGATGCCATACTTATCGCCCCGCATCACATGTCCGAGATACTGTAGCTTTCTTTCTTTAATTGTAAGTTCAATTTCCTTCTCTTTGCCTATTCTTCTCAGTATTTCATTGTTTGTAACTCTATCTACCCAGGAAACCCTCATAATTCTTCTATAGGTCCACATTTCAAAGGCGTTAAGTCGTCTCATGGTATCTAGATTTAACGTCCATGATTCCACTTCATAATATAGTACACTGTATACGTAATATTTTGTTAGGCGTACTTTAAGAGCTAATGTTAGATCTTTGCCACATAGGACCTTTTTCATTTTTATAAAATTAGAACGTGCTTTTTCGATTCTGACTTTGATTTCTGCCATGTAGTCATTATTTTCTGTTATAAGTGTTCCTAGGTAAGTGTACTTTTTTACTCTTTCGATCTGCTGGCCCTCTACTATCAAGATTTCGTTAGTATTATAGTTGTTTTTACAAATTTTCATAAACTTTGTCTTTTTGACATTAAGAGAGAGTCCGTACTCCCTACTACACATGACTATTTTGCTCATGAGTCTTTCCAGGTCTTGTAAACTATCGGCTATTATTACTGTATCATCTGCATATCTGTTGTTGTTAATTAAGACTCCATTTACTCTTATGCCGACTGTTTCATCTTCCAGAGTTTCTCGAATTACCTCTTCAGAATAGGCGTTAAATAATAAAGGTGATATAATGCAGCCTTGCCTGACTCCTCTCTTTATTTCCATTTCTTCAGATGTTTCTTTTTCGATTCTTACTATTGCTCGCTGATTGTAATAGAGGTGTGTTATTAGCCTTAAATCTCTTTCATCTAGGTTTTTATTTTTTAGAATTTCCAGGAGTCGATCATGTTTTACTTTATTAAACGCTTTATTGTAGTCTATAAAACAGACGTAAAGAGGACGGTTAACATCCAAACATCTCTGTGTCAGCACGTTGAAGGAGAATAATGCCTCTCTGGTACCCATATCATTGCGGAACCCATATTGAGTGTCACTAATATCCAGCTCCAGTTTAGAGAGTATTCTGGGTTGCAGATGCTCATACTTAATTAAAATTCTGAATAATGTCCTAATGTCCTTGGAGACGTCACGTCCCCGAAGACTTCTATATATATATATATATATATATATATATATATATATATATATATATATATATATATATATATATATATATATATTTATATATATATATATATATATAGAGAGAGAGAGAGAGAGAGAACCACCTATACCTATATCGAGCGTCAAATAAATATTGTCCTATAAATGAGAACAACAGCTGGCGAATCAGACAATATTATATATATATATATATATATATATATATATATATATATATATATATATATATATATATATATATATATATATATATATATATATATTGATTAAACGAATTTTAATATATTTCTATATTGTATATAATATATGTCTTTATACCAAAATACACAATTGTGAAGTGTTTTAACTTCTGTGTTTAATATATGTCTGTTTGAACTGCATTTGAAATAGTGGACCAATATAAAACTTGGACAAAAATAAATCCATACCCGGTGATAGACATTGTATATAATATCGTTCAACTATCTGTCTCCATTTAGGACGCACCATAGTCTATAGTGCCACCCAAAGTCAATGTTGCCAATCGCCGTGTAATAATCCGATTTGCGGATCTTTTTGAGAGTTATATCTTCTTCGTGTCTTTAAATAAATCGGACATTTGCCTATATTTTTCATTGTATTTACCAATCTACAACAGACTAATACAAAAATAAACTTAATGGTTTGTAGTTATTTCCTGTAAATATTTTATGGTTAACACCTTATTTGAGAAACATGTAGAGGAATGAGATTGGCAACACCGCTCAAAATATCCATCTGACTGCTTAGATGAACGAAAGAGGGGCTTGCCTAAATCCGGCCACTCACGATACAGCGGCGTTGTTCAACTTCGTCGAGTTCGACGAATTGACAAGGATTTTGATCGTGTGTGACGGTGCATCCAATGAAATCGTACAATTTGATCGCAGACAGACTGGCCTGTCTGCTGCAGTACTGCAGAGTTGATCTCATCAATTTGTTGAGCGTGTGTGACCGTTTACAATTTGTCGATACTGCAAAAATACATTTTTAACTACACACTTGCTTTAATCATATTATAGAAAATCGACATGGCTTGATTTAGCGAGAATTTTTTAAGACAGTTTTTTGAATTATACAAAAAACAAGAATGTTTATAGCGAATAAAAGGTAAAACGTATCACGATAGAAACACCCAAAAACAGGCAATGGACATTCTAGTTTTAAAGTTCCAAGAAGTAAACAAAGATGCGAATGAAGAGTATGTAAGAAAAAAATATTAACAATTTTAGAACATCCCATAAAAAAGAATTAAAATTAGCATTGCAGTCCAGGAAATCAGGTGCAGGGGTAGACGAGATTTATTTTGCACCAAAATCTTGGATTCTTTGCACCAGGATCTACGTTTTATTTTAGGTTTCTTTTTACGCTTAGTTATACACAAAGTAAGAGACGCTAAAATGATTGTTTGATTTAATATGGTCGAGAACCCAACAAATACTGAGGCACAGTATGGTGTGTATGCGCACCAGATATAACAACAAATTGAACAACGCTGCTGTCCGATTAGGTCGAACGACACCGCTGTACCGTGAGTGGCCGGCTTTAGGAAGCGATAGGTGGTTTGACCATGTGGTTTGACAGCATAATAAAATCCTAGATTTATGTGTTGCTTTCAATTTTTATACGTGATGGGCGGGGCAACCTATTTGGGTGGACTTTTGATTTGTTCTTGAATGAGTTCAAAATCCAGCAGCCCGCTGAAGTATTGGATTTATATAATATAATTATTTGACAACCTTTTGTTGGCCAACCACCTAGAGCAAAGTTGAGCTGAAACACATATATTTGGTATGTTCCCAATTTAACTCGTTCAATCTGTATATAAATAAAGAACCACCTATATCTTAGTATATCATATCACTTAGTATATTGGGCTGCAGAACCATAGTATAGATAGGTTTTTTGTGCTTAAAGACGTAAAACAATGATACTAAAGTAAAAAGTATTGTATCTTGGCAATTATTAATAATTCCTGTGTAAAAGATCCATGTTCACTGTTATATAAATCAGTTTAAGTAATAGGAAAGACGAACTGGAATAAAATATTGCAATTATTTTAGGAACTTCTTTTCAAGAAAATCAGATACCGTTAACAAATATTGGACTTAAACCCCGACATCTATGCTTTGCCCCGAGTTTAGTTGGTACAATTTCTTATGAAAATATGCTAATTTTCAACAAACTGCCTGGTCTTGTAATCTTTAAACTTGTGGCTCCTGTAAAAAGGTAAGTCATTATATTCATTAACTAAATGATTTTAAATAATAAAATTGAACAATTACATTAATATGTTTTAACAGTTAACAGTGTAAATATACGAGTAGTTGAAATAGTATACTTTATGTAAGTCGCAAAAAACTTATGTAGTCACAGTGATGTATACAAACTTACATCGGTCAAATGCGTGGAAACTTTAAAAAACGGATCGCAGAACATAAAAGGGTTTTTAATAATAGAAAAACAGATTCTACATATTACTTAATTAGTAACTTTAATAGGATATATTTCTTAATTACTAACTTTAGACAAACAGTTCTCCCCTCCTTAACTTAAGGCGTAAGGCTTAATTTAGTTAAAGACTGTAAAGTGTCACTACTAGTGCAGGTAAGATAGGCAATATATTTTTTCTTATGGTAGAATGGCCAACCACGTTGCCGGTTTGTCCCGAGTGGCGCATCAGGACCGGATTTAAGAATCGTGACACCGGAATATAATGCGCGAAAGAGTTTCGAAAATGTGCGGTGTGAGTGTTCACAACATTTATGAATTTCGCGAAAAGGCGCAGCAAGGCGAACTGAAACTGATATAAAAAGAAAGAAAAACAGTTTGCAGTCCAATTCAAGTGAGTCCCCTTGCGTTGGGGGAGTTAAATCTCAAATAAAGAAAATTGTCTATGATTTTTTTTTGGAAACCATACCAATAATCGTCGACAGCATAATGAACAGAGTGAAGGATAATGAGGACCTACCAGATTTTTTAAAAACCACATGTCGCACAGGCTACTAAATGACATGGGTTTTAAATGTGGTAAAAGAGGTCGAGATTCGATAATGATTGAAAAAGAAAAGATATATCCTGCAGAAGCAGAGAGCATTTCTTCAATTGCCGAATAGAGGTAAACCATTATCAACCGCTGGTTCCATGCGAAATAAAATATTATCCATGAATCAACAGAAAGGGTAAACGAAGCTACTTAGCTAAAAAGAAAGTGACTTATTTCAAAACTTATTTCTACAATTTTTCAGCTAAGAAAAACTATAGAAACCAAAGTTGAGAATAGAACAAAATTGAGATACCTATGAGAAACGAATATGAAGATATGAATAGAAACGATTGGCACACTGGATTAGAGAAAATTAATACTTAACTACATATGTTAAAGTTACTTCAAAAGTTACTTCTAAAAATGTTTTGAATGTTTGTTATTTATTTTTATTTAATATTGACTAACAAAATTTGATTTAAATCCTAATATTTTAAACACAATCATAAATGTGTACTTTTACTATACCACCTACTTTCACTCAAGTTTCAAGGATTCAGTTATCATCTATAGCACTATTGTAAATTTTAACAGGTAAGTTTTTTCTGCAATCTGATAATCGTGATATAAAACATAATTTTATTTCAGAAATCAAGATATAATCGAACAAAACTCTAAAATTCGTTTAGAACTAACATTTAGTTCATTATGATAAGTAAAAAAGAAGAAAAAATTGATTAATGTCAGTTTTGATAGTTTACACTAACCAATATTTCAAATATTAAACATGTACAACGAACTTCTCCAATATTATACTGAATTTGAGGATACAGAAACTTTAGATCGCTCCCAAGCACTCTGGTTGGAAGATGAGGAAACAAGATGGGAGCAATTAAAAAACTTCATTGACGAATTCGTTATTTCACAGGAATACGAAGACTATCTAGAACAGAAAAGAAACATTATTAAAAAAGATGCGGAAACTCAATATGATTGTACAGATTATGTTCAGATTCCGAGAAAGATAATAAAGAAGGTCCCAATGTATCCTTTAACAAGGGAAGCCAAAAAAATGGCTGCGTTTATTAGAATGTTTGAATGTTATCTCACAGATAAAAGAAACGATGAAATGGTACAACGCCAAAGGGAAGGAATTAATGTTATAAGGTTAGTCAATTTTTTCTGTTTTGAATTTTTGGCGGTAATTTTATACGATAATAGATGTTTAGGTTCATTCTTCCCTCTCTATCTCTCTCTCTCTCGTATTCATCTTTGGGTTTACTTAGCATAGAATCAAATTTTTTACCAAGTAAGTGATAGTAATTTTTTTTAAATTAAAAGTAAAATATTTGTCTGCTGTATTATCTTGGTAAAACCATTTTTGCAAGAGTTCTTCTAGAAGCTAATATGTTTTGACATCATGTTTACCAAAGTCTTCATCCAAATTGATTAACTCTAGTAAATTTTATGAAATCTTCATTTAAGTTACGTAATTTGAAAATAGGTTATTCTTCTTTTTCTTCTTCCTTCTGGTATGTAGGCTTTAAAGCCTGTTTCCTCTTCAATATTAGCCTAATAAATTGTTTAAATTCTCGCACCATCTTTTTCTTGGTCTGCCAATACTTCTTTGTCCATTTGGTGATTTATCTCCTACTATTCTTACTATCCTATTCTCTGCCATTCTACTAATGTGTTCGTTCGTTCCTGTTTCCGTCTTGTCACCCATCCATTTATGTCCTCTATATTACATGCTCTTCTTATGTCTTCGCTTCTTTCCCTATCCAACAGACTTTTTCCTTATATTCGTCGGAGTATTTTCATCTCTGTTGTTTCTAATAGTCGTTTCGTTTTAGATGTGTCAGGTCTTGTCTCCTCTGTGTATATTAATGTAGGTCTAATTACTGCTTTACAGATTCTTGTTTTTGTGTTTTTTCTTAGGTGTTTCTTCTTTCAGATTGTATTATTAAGAGATTTTGCCGCTTTACTTATGTAAATACAGATATCTAAACCTTGCTTCCTGCTTTATTATTTTCCCATCAATTTCGATTTTACATCGTAGTGGGTATTCGGATGTTGTCATATATTTGGTTTCTTCTGCTGATATTATCAAATTGTATTTCTTGGCTGGTCGGTCAGATTTCTTGGTTGTTGTATTAAAGATATGTGTTAATCTTTGGAGCTCGTCTTCTGTCTCGACGATTAATGCGGCGTCGTCTGCATAACATAATATTTGGATTTCTTTGTTCCCCATTCTGTAACTATGACCTTTACGTACTGCTTGTATTATTTTGTCAATTATTATATTAAATAGAAGTGGGCTTAACGGGTCACCCTGTCTGACTCCGTCTTGTACTGGTATATATTGTGTTAGTTTTCCATTTATCTTTACCTGTATTCGATGATATAAGTAGATGTTTTTAATGGTTTTACAAAAACAAAGACGTCTTCCACTTGGATGCGATCGAAATTCTTTGTCAGGTCTGTAAAATCTGAATCCTTGTTCATGTGATAAAGTTGTTAGTTTATTGATTTTGTTGGTTAGGACTTTTGTGGTAACCTTAAGTGCGGTGTTCAGTAGATTTATACCTCTATAGTTGTCGAGGTCTTCTTTATCTCTCTTCTTGAACATTGATATCATTATGCTATTTCCCCATGCGTCTGGCATCTTGCAGTGCAATATTAATTTTTGTCATCTTCAAGGTTATACTTTCTCTTCCGTGTTTTAGAAGCTCGTAGGTTATTTTATCTCGTCCTGGCGACTTTCTATTTTTGAGTGAATTTATGGCTATTTTTACTTCCTGAAAACTGATTTCTATTTCGTGTCTTAATTCAGGCATGTTATTGTGTTGATTATTATTTTTCTTTTCTTTAAACAGTTCTGTCAGGTATCTTTCCCATTCATTTGCTGGTATGTTTTTGTATTCCTTCAATTCTGCCATTTCTTTCCGTTGGTTTCTTATGAATCTCTATATTTTTTTTGTGTACCGTAGAAGTCGCCTTCCATCTGTTTTGTAATCTGTTTCCAGCGATTATTTTTTGTTCTTCTTACCAACTGCTTTGTTTCATTTCGTATTCTTCTATAGTTGTCTCGGGATTCCGGAGTATTTGATATTTTGTACTTCGTGTAAGTGTAGGCTTCTCGTTTCTCTTTACATTTCTCTTTTATTTCTTTTCTGAACCATGGTGTATTGTTGTTGTTTATAAATAATAGGTTACAAAAAATATAAATAAAAATTATATATTGTTGTATTTAGTGGACGATGATCTTTTACAATAAAGTTTAATTGTGGTTTAATAATCATTTCCTTTCTTAAAACTAGCAGTTATTGAATTGCAAATGTTTTCAAGTAATGTAGACTGTCTATTTTGCTTTTACCGGAAACAAGAGTGCAGACAATATTTATGTCTAAAAAGACTTGCTGTCCTTGCTTTTGGAAACATATGGCAGTATCTTTGTACAGTAAATACACGCAAAATCTTGAATAACTTCTTTAAACTCTAATAATCTATTAATTCAATATTCACCCACAAAACACAAACCAGAAATTTATATATTTTATAAAAAATATTTTCCCAAGTCTCTTTTAATTTCATCTTTTCCGTAATTGCCGATTTCCTAAAAATTTCCGGTATTGGTCCCGTAACGTAAACCACCCCAACTACTACAGTTGGTGAAGGATCCTGCAATTGGTCACACTCCAGCGCTCACGATGTTTAAGCCCGGTCAAGTTAACGCCCGAAAAGCTTACTCAGCTCACGACGGGTCACATCGTTTTTGGAATATTTTGATTACTTTCTAATTATTCTAATATAATCAGTATTATAAGTCAGAATAATAACATTATTTTATTTGAAATTGTTAGGTCAAAAATAGAAGAGGTTAGGAAACAAACAGCATGCTCCGTTGAACAAATTAAAACAAAAATCAATCAGGAAATTGACGACGAAACCAAAGAGTTCTACGCGATTTTTAACTTTGATCTTAAGCAAATAGAGCCAAAGTACAAAATAAAAATCAAAGAAACCGTTATGTCGTGTTCTAAAACCCCACGATACAGGAATTACAATAGAAGAGAAAATTTACCACAAATTGCTAAAATCATTTTAGATAAACTAAGAAAATCACGAAAATCAACTGATAATAAAATTAATTCTACAGCTGAACAGAATAAAAGAAAAACCAGTAATAAGGAAATGAAGCTGGATGAAAAAGAAATTGAGAAAACATCTGATAAAAAAAGAA